TGGTGGTGGTGGTGATGATGCGCCAACAGCGCCGGGAATGACGCGGCACCCGCTGCAAACATGGGCGGGATCGGAAACACCGGGCCATGGTGCAACCCACCACCAACTCCTCCTCCTCCTCCACCACCACCGCCACCACCACCAGCACCAGAAGGCAGCACCGCCGCTGCAGCACCCAACGCCATCAGGTGCTTGACGAATTCGTCGCCTGCTGCAGTGGCGAGGGCGAGCGGCACAGCGCCCGGTGGCACCACTGACGCTGGCAGCGACATGGACATGGACATGGATTGAGACGCGGGTGTCAGGGACTGGGTCAGATGAGGGGTTGATTGTTGATGGGTGCGGGAATGCTTCTTGAGGTGGTCCTTGCGCCCGAATCGCTTCCCACAGCATGGGCAGGCGTATGGGCGCAGGCCGGAATGGATTCGTCTGTGTCGGGTTAGCTCCTCGTTGCGGGTGAAGGTTTTCCCGCAGTTGTCCTGGGTGCACCTGAATGGCCGCTCACCTTTATAGGACACAAAAATATCATATAAATATATAGTTCAACCTTGTATAATGTATAAAATCTTGGTACCGCAAAACGATTGAATCCTTGAGAAAAAAAAATCTTCTCAAAGAAAAATAAATTCAAATACAGACAAGAAACCCGCCAAAACAGAAAAGCTAGCATAAAGCACCTTTGAAAAAAGAAAAAAAAACTTTCTGGGAGCAAAAAAAAGTGACTTCACAAAAGTGGACTCTCTCTCTCTCTCTCTCTCTCTCTCTCTCTCTCCACAATGAAAATCTGTGCGACAGAAAAATTGTTTGTTCAGTCAACCCTTGGTTAATGTTCCGTTTGCTGAAGGTTTTTTCACTCAACGTTCCCAGTCCTGTGAGAAAAATCCCCTTGCTTAACATTCTGAAATTCGCTTAAGGTTCTGCAGTTGTGAGGCACCAGGTGATCAATGTGGATGCCTCCCTCCCTCCCTCCTGTACATTTTCTTGAATGTAACTTTTTCCACAGCTTTAAATGTGTTTCCTGTGTGGTGGTGTGGTGGAGGAGGAGGAGGAGTTGGTGGTGGGTTGCACCATGGCCCGGTGTTTCCGATCCCGCCCATGTTTGCAGCGGGTGCCGCGTCATTCCCGGCGCTGTTGGCGCATCATCACCACCACCACCA